CTCCACCAAAAAATTGCTAGAACTAACACATGAATTCAGCATAGTTGCAGTATATAAAATCAATGGGCAGAAATCTGTTGCATTTCTATACACCAATAACAAAGCAGCAGGAAAAGAAATAAAAGAATTGATTCCATTTGCAATTGTACCCAAAACAATAAGATACTTAGGTATAAACCTAAGGAAGTAAAAGATGTATACTCTGAAAACTATAGAACACTTATGAAGGAAATTGAAGAGGACACAAAGAAATGGAAAAGCATTCCATGCTCATGGTTTGGAAAACAAACATTGTTAAAATGTCTATATTACCCAAGGCAATCTTCATATTCAATGCTATCCCCATCAAAATACCACCAGCATTTTTCACAGAGCTACAACAAACAATCCTAAAATGTGTAAGGAGCCACAAAAGACCCCAAATAGCCAAAGCAATACTGAAAAAGGAAAAAACAAATCATGATTCCAGATTTCAAGCTTTATTACAAAGCTTTAGGCGGGCTCCTGGGTGGCTTAGGCATTAAGCATCTGACTTTAGCTCAGGTCATCATTTCACGGTTTGTGAGTTTGAGTCCTACATCGGGTGAGCTTGAGCCTTGCTTCTGGTGAGCACAAGCCCTGCCTCAGATAAAAAAAAACATGAGCTCCGCTCCCGCCCCCACCCCACCCCCACCCTGTCTCTCTTCCCTTTGCTCACTTGCGCCCTCTTTCTCTTTTTCTCAAAAAAAAAAAACAAAAAAAAAAAAAAAACCAGAAAACTATAGTCATCAGGACAGTTTGGTTCTGGCACAAAAACAGACACACACATCAATGGAACAGGGTAGAAAACCCACAGATGGACTCCCCAACCATATAGTCAACTCATCTTTAACAAAGCAGAAAAGAATATCCAATGGAAAAAAGAGTCTCTTCAACAAATGGTATTGGGAAAACTGGATGGGGATAGGCAGAAAAATGAAACTGGACCACTTTCTTATACCATACACAGAAATAAATTCAAATTGATGGAAGACCTAAATGTGAGACAGGAACCTATCAAAATCCTAGAAGAGAACACAGGCAGCAACCTCTTTGACCTCGACTGGTGCAGCTTCTTAATAGACATGTTGCTGAAGGCAGAGGAAACAAAAGCACACATGAACTATTGGGACTTCATCAAGATAAAAATCTTCTGCACAGTGAAGGAAACCATCAACAAAACTAAAAGACAGCCTATGGAATGGGCGAAGATATTTGCAAATGACATATCTGATAAAGGGTAGTATCCAAAATATTTAAAGAGCTTATCAAACTTAACACACGAAAGACAAATAATCCAGTGAAGAAATGAGCAGAAGACATGAATAGACACTTTTCCAGAGAAGACATCCAGATGGCCAACGTACACCTGAAAAGATACTCAACATCACTCATCTTCAGGGAAATGCAAATCAAAACCAGGATGAGATACCACCTCACACCTGTCAAAATGGCTAAAATTAACCACTCAGGAAACAACATGTTGGCGAGGATGCAAGAAACTAAAAATAGAATTACCCTACAATCCAGCAATTGCACTATTAGGTATTTACCCAAGTGATACAAACTACAGATTCAAAGGAGGTACATGCCTCCCAGTGTTTACAGCATCATTATCAACAATAGCCAAACTATGAAGAGAGCCCAAATGCTCATCAACTGATGAATAGATAAGATGTGGTGTGTATGTGTGTATATATATATATATATATATATATATATACAGACACACATATATAATGGTATATTACTCAGCCATCTAAAAGAATGAAGTCTTGCCATTTGCAATGATGTGGATGGAGCTAGAATGTGTTATGCTAACAAAATAAGTCAGAGAAGGACAAATACCATATGATTTCACTTATGTGTGGAATTTAAGAAACAAAATATGAATAAGAGGGAAGGGGAAGGGAAGAGAAGAGAGGGAACAAACCACAAGAGACTCTTAATGATAGAGAACAAACTATAGGTTGACAGAGGGAGGTGGGTGGGAGATGGGCTAGATGAGTGATGGGTACTAAGGAGGGCACTTGTGATGAATCACTGAATTCTCCTGAAACCAATTTTGCAAGGTATGTTAACTTACATTTAAATAAAATTTAAATAAAAAACTTTTAATAGCTCCCAGTGTGTATAAAATAATACCCAAACTTTTTGCTTGATTTTCAAAGCTCTCCAGCTTTTGAAATTTTGTCATAGCTCTTTCACTTGGCCTTTTATTCCCACCCGTACCTTTCCATAAATGTTTGTTACGTTGTCTTCCTACTGTTCTTCAAAAACAAACTTAACAAAAAAGCAGTTCTTGTTTACACACTGCAGTGTGTTTTTCTCTCAGCTACTCTCTACTTACTGGAATTTTATTCATTATTAAGAACATAGTTCAAATGCCATGCTGCTGCCTCCATGAGGCTCATTGAGGAAGTTAGTTGAGGACAATTGTATCTTCCCCTGTGGATTATAAATTTTTTTTGAATAAGGATTATACCCTTATTTTTCCCCCAGTTTTTATCTTTAATAATGTCTAGCACAGTTACATTGAACTTTGATGACCTTCTGTTTCTAGTGAACAAATATAAAAATTAAAAGGATTATTCATTGTGCTGAAGTAAGGTTTATCCTTGAAATATAAGCCAGATATAAAACAATAAAAATAAAAATTGATCCCATTAGCAAGGCAAGTAATTTTTTTAATGTGTAATTCAAATTATTAAGATAAACTTTTCAGCATCAGTTACTAAAAATTTTTTTAACGTTAAGGGATTATATAATATGATAAAGTAGTGGCTCTCAAACTTTTGGGGTATCAGTGTCCTATTACATAAAAATTATTGGGGACTTAAAAGAGCTGTTCTTAAAAGGGTTTATGTGTCTCGATACTTACCATATTACAGAATAAAACCAAGAAATTTTTAAAATATTAGTTTGTTTAGGTAACAGTAATAATCTGTCACATGTTAACACAAAAAAAACATTTTTCGAGGAAAAAAAGTGAAGAGAATAGAATACATATACTGCTTTACAAATCTCTTTAGTATCAGGCTTCATAGAAGACAACTGGATTCTTATATTTGCTTTTGAATTTAATCTTATGATATCATACATCAAGAAGCCTCTGGAAAACACTAATCACTGAGAGAGAGTGAGAATGAAAAAATGCAAATATCTTAACATGATTCTGAAAATATTTTTGATCTCATGGACCTTTTGAAAGAGTCTTGGGGGTCATCAGGGGAAACTGGACACACTTTGAAAACTGCTATATTAAAATATATTTCCTTTATACTAAGAAATTAATATAATGAATAAACAGTAATGGAGTAAGATAAAATAGAATTCTAAATATTGCATGTCTGTGTGATTATATACTGTTAGAGAAAATATAATGAAAATTGCTAATACCTAAAAATGTGAAATACTTTGTATTTATTTTTTAAAAATTAACATACAAGGAAGAATTGCCAGAGAAAACTTAGGTTCTCAGTGGATAGATTAAATAGTAAAAAGAGGGCACCTGAGTGGCTTAGTCGGTTCAGTGTCTGACTTTGGCTCAGGTCATGATCTCATGGTTATGAGTTCGAGCCCTGCATCAGGCTCTGCACTAACAGTGCGGAGCCTGTTTGGGATTCATTCTCTACCTCTCTCTCTCTTCCTCTTCCTCTCCCCCTCTCTCCCTCTCTCCCTCTCTCTCTCCCTCTCTCCCTCTCTCCCTCTCTCTCTCTCTCTCTGCCCCTCCCCTGCTGTCTCTCTCTTTCTAAATAAATAAATAAACTTTGAAAAATATTGTAAAAAGAAAGAGCAAAGTAAGGCTAAATACACAATATACACAATATTAGTTACAGTCATCTTTAGATATTATACAGAATTTTGAAATGAAAATATTTTGGGGGGCACCTGATTGGCTCAGTCAGTTAAGCATCTGACCCATGTATTCAGCTCAGGTCATGATTTCACTGTTCGTGGGTTTGAGCGCTACACAAACCTGACAGCACAGAGCTTGCTTGGGATTGTCTCCCTTCCCCCCCTCTTTCTGCCCCTTCCTCACTTATGCTCTCTCTCTCTCTCAAAATAAATAAACATTTGAAAAATAATTAAAAGAGAAAGTATTTGTAAAGAAATAAGAGGTTTACCCACTGAGATTTGAAAATCTATTACCAAGTATATGTGGTCAAAATGTTCAAGTAGATTGAGTTGATTACTATAATAACCTCTTAAAAATTAATAACACAGTGATGGGAGGAAAATCCCATTTGATATTTCTTTTAAACAATAGATTTAAAATATTGAAAATAAGTGTCTTGATTTGTGATGCTGCCTAGAATTCACTGTAGTAGGTTTCAGATGGATCAGACCACTGTCTAAAAAGTTTAGGATACATTTTTGGTCCATTTACCTCAGCCTTGATGGGGGACATACACACTGGGGTTTTTTTCAAAATACAGGACACCATCAACATAAGATTACTGTAAAAATGACATTTGTGTTTAGTCTAATAGTATACGTAAGTGGAAGTAAGATAATAAGGTATTTATGGATGTAAGTATTCCGTTTTAACTTCCTTAGGTGGAAATTAAGATGACATCTATAAATTTTTAAAGTTTATTATCCAAAATATTTAAAGTATTGATGCAACTTGATTTAGTGGCAGAAACAAGGTACATTTTAATAAGAAGAGTGTAAAGCTCCATTACCAATTAAAGAAACGTAGATTAAAGATATAATTGTGACACTTAAATGTTTTCATGATTATAAATTTGTGTTCTGCATAAGTAAAACAACATAAATTACACATCTTAATGAAGGTAAATATGACAATACAAAATGATTATATCTTTTTCTTTGCTCCATTTTATGAACAGAATTTATTTAACTGAAAATATGATTTGGGCAAGAAGGTTGATAAAGTTCAGTAAGTAACAAAAAGAGAAGTTGTTAAATTATTTTAGAAGAAAGTAATAGTTCGCTCTAATTTTTTCTCCTTAAAGAAACAAGGTCCAACTAATCCAATGCTTTTTCATCTTGTTCGGGATGTCAAACAGGTAAGAGATTATTTTTGTTTTTGAAAATGCAATTTAAAAATTTGGTTACACTTCATCTGTTCCTAAAACACATTTAAGTAATGTCCATCTCAAAAATAGCAATAAAGTGACACTTTTTAGAACAAGGTAAAGTAAGGGCTACATTTGTGGTAACAAAAGTAAAGAGAATAGTGTACCAGAAATCAAAAAAAAAGGAAAGTTAATTATACTCAGACCAAGTTTTGTGAGCTTCTAGTCATCTGAGATAGACTGTGATGAATTTCATAATGCTCATTGGTCCATAAAGGAAGATTATTGATAAAATGTATCTTCTTTGTCTGTGTTCAGAAGAAATTTGTTTCCTGGGCCTTAGAGGACTGTGAATAAAGACATTGAGGGAAACACTGGATGATGATCTTCATGGCAGAGTTTGCCAAAAGTGCTGAAATGTTTGCGTTCATGTGCGCATGGTTTCTCTTTTCATATTCAGTATTGGTCATGGTGGAATATATAGCACTGTCATGTGGTTTAAAGCCATTCTGTGGGGACTAAACTTGATGTACTAATATTTCCCTTCTCTTCTATTGGGATTCTTTGTGAATTAATAGTTTTAGACATCTATTAAAAATTTTATAGTCATTTAAAATATTGGTATCCAGTAGTTTTATTTTCCTAGGTGAAAAGGTATTCATTTAATTAACTGAAATATTTTTGTAGTTTCTGAACTAAAATGCTTTCTAGAATTCTTCAAACTTTTACTTGTTAATATATGTAAGTGTACTATTAAATAACTGAAAAATTAAAATAGAAATGTCATTTTCTGTTTTGATTTTTTTGTGTTTTGTCACTTATTTAATACTAAACTAGCTTCCCATGGGAAAAAACTTAGACTTTATTATACTTAAAAATATTTTTTTCTTTAATTCAATTTTTTCCAGGTGTTTTCCCTTATAACTTTATTAAAAAATTTTACATGTCATAAAATTCATTCAGTGTTCATTGGATTTTAGTATATTCACAGAGTTGTGCTACTGTGACTGCAATCAAATTTTTTTTTTAATTTTTAAAAAGTTTATTTATTTATTTTGAGAGAGGCAGCCCGAGCATGAGTGGGGAAGGAGTAGACAGAGAGGGAGAGAATCGCAAGCAGACTTTGTGCTGTCAGCACAGAGACCACTCGGGGCTTGAACTCACAAACTGTGAGATCATGACCTGAGCTGAAACCAGGAGTCAGCTGCTTAACCACCTGAGCCACCCAGTCACTCCTACAGTCTAATTTTAGACTAATCCATTAGCAGTCACTCTCCATTCCTGTTTCTTTCTCTACTCGTTACTCTACTTTCTCTACTCCTCTGCCCCTGCCCTTGGCAACTGTTAATCTACTTTCTGTATGTCTGGATTTGCCTATTCTGGACATTTCACATTGTTTTTTTGTTTTGTTGTTTAAATAATTAAAGCTTTTTTTTTTTTTTTT